GACGTTGGGCAATGTATTTCAGCATCTCTGAGCCTAGCTTCCTCATCTATAAAGTGGGGTGAAATAGTACAGTGGTTTTGTCACAGAGTTGTTGTGCGCATTAAATGAGTTAGTACATGGTCAAGATCTCAGAAGACAGTGCTCAGTATTAGTAGCTGTCACTATTATCACCAGGCTGTATGTTATTCAGAGATGTTCTAGGGGAGAGACCCAGAGCTGGAATTAGAGGAGAGACGCGAAGGGCCTTTTGTACCCTACCAAGGATGGTAGGACAGCTTACTCAAGTATTTAAGGAGGGGTGACTTTCTTGTTCCTGTAGAACCTCCCAGTGCAGGGTCCGGAGTCACCACCATCCCAGAGGACTGGTAGATCCCTCTAGGGCCGTGTGGAGAAATGCAACGGGAGAGGACAGTAAGGGGGAGGCCCTGGGTGATGCCAGGATCAGACCTTTCTGTTGCTCAATCACACTAAACTCACTCTGGCCTCAGGCCCTTTGCACGTGCTATTTCTGCTGCCTGGAACACTTTTCTCTCAGTTACTCAAGTGGCTCCTTCATATCATTTGGTTTCAATTCAGATGTCACCTCATCAATTAGCTGTCTCCCAACCCGAGCCTGGGCACTCTCAGAGTTGCAGCTCTATTTTAATTTTCTTCATAACATTTATCTGAATTATCCTGGTTTGTTTGTTATCTGAAAATACAAGCCCCATGAGAGCAGGGGCCTTTCCACGTGCACAATTGTGTCTCCAGTGCCTAGAACAGTGCCTGGCACATAACAGATGCTCAGTACAAATTTGTGGAATGAGTGAGTGAGTGAATGAATGAATGAATACAAGAATAGAAGGTTAGATGGCTTATTGGGTGATAAGGTGGTTTTTCGGAGGTGAGGTTTATATATGGAATAATTAGGTAGTGGTATTTTAACTGAGTTTCACAAAGCAGACAGGAGACTAGGTGTCGGGAAAGGACAGCCAAACACCAGGAGACCCCCCATGATGTGGGAGTTCACATCAAGGGTTCGCACGTTCTCCAAGAGCAATACCTCGCCTGGACCTGGCCGTACTATCGAGCTTCCTGCCGGAAGAAGTTCTGTTTCCAGAGGGACTCCTCTATCTTGGCTCATCAGGGAATGATCAAACCCTTCCTGCACCCCTTTCCCAGCTGTCCTTGCCCTCTCAGAGGCCCTTCTGTGCACAGGCCCTCAGCCAGTGGGATGCCAGATCTTTACCAGGGAGCAACGACACTGCTGAGAAGATAGCCATTCTCTGGGGAAGGGCAGCAGCTCTGGAAAAGAAGCCACCAGAGATCTCTGGGAGCTTCCAGCCTCTTCCGGGGAGTGGGGGGGGGTGCGTTGGAGAGAAGGTCTTGTAGTCCGTGGGCAGTGAGGTGGGCAAAAGTCCGGGGCTGGACAGTGACTCCACAGTCAACTCCCTATTTAGGATGCAGCTGAGGCTGGAGCCAGGTCTGGCTATCGGGGCCGCCGATCCCCTCACACCGCCCATGAACACTTCGAGGGGCTCACGGTGCTGAAGGCTGCACAGGTGAGCCAAGAGGTACCCATACCCTCGTCTGATGCTCAGGTCTGGAAGAGGGCATACAGGAGGCTGGCGCCAGGGCCTGGGCTTCTCCAGTGGAGGGGCTCTCTGGGACCAAGAGACCTTGAGTTCTCTGCCCAGGATCGAGGAGGGGTTGTCATGGAGCCACTGGAAGGAGCGGCTGGGGCTGATGGACAGAGCTGGCCGCTGAGAGACTCCACACTCACCCTTCCATTGCCTCCCTCCTTTCTCATCCTTCCTCCCGCTGCCCACAGCTGGCCCGCGCTGGGGCTGTGAGCACTCAGGGTGCTAAGCTGCTCCTGGAAGTGAGCGAGCGTGTGCGGACCTTAACTCAGGCCTACTTCTCCCCGGAACGGCCCCTGCATCTCTCCTTCACTCACCTGGTGTGCCGTACGGCCATCAAAGGTAACTGCCGTACCCCACTGTTCCTCCCCGGCCTCCGGGCCCTGTGGGCGCTGCATAGCCTCAGCACCCCCTAACTGTGTGGGTTCATCTTCACTCCTAAAAGACAGACTCCCCTGCCCACGTCTGGGCCTGGCCTCTCTGCTCAGCTGTGACCCCCAAGCTTCAGGGTGGGAGTGGATAGAGGTGCATGGGCACAGGCACAGAGGCGCTCACCAGGCCCCCTTGCTTCCCAGGGGAGCAAGAGCAACGCATGGACCTGAGTCACCCCGTGCATGCCGACAACTGCGTTCTGGACCCTGACACGGGAGAGTGCTGGCGGGAGCCCCCAGCCTACACTTATCGAGACTACAGGTGGGCAGCCCCTGCTGGGGTCCGGCAGGTGCGCCTGGGGTGGGCTCTCACGGCCTCCTGTCTTCCTCCTCCAGTGGACTCCTCTACCTCAACGATGACTTCCAGGGCGGGGACCTGTTCTTCACAGAGCCCAACGCCCTCACTGTCAGGGTAAGGAGGCGGGGGGCGGTGGTTTGGAACAGGGAGCACAGCTGTGGGCTCAGGATTCAAAACAGAAGGATCCCAGAAGCAAATGCAGGGAAATGGCTGGGGCCGCCTGAACCCTTCCTCTCCTGGCCTCCCAGCTCTTTCCACCACTTGTCTGTTCAGGAGCTCTCCTAGCAGAGCTCCTAGCAGAGGTTGGTTATTGCGCCCCGTCCCCCCCAGGAGGTCACAGTGACCCCTGCAGACTTGCCGTCCGTGTTTGCCTCACCTCCTAAAGAAGGGTGGGTGAGCACAGGACCCCAAGTCCCTATTCCAGGTAGAAACTAGGGGCTAGAAGTAGGTAGAAGGAGAGGGACAGTGATTTCTCTCACCTGTTGCTTTGTCTTCCTTCCTTCCCTGGTTACCACCACCAGCACCTACACTCCATGCCCTCCGTGGGGTGGAAGGGTGTTCCCAAGATCCTTATGCCTGGTCCTCCTCATGTCGCAGATTTCTTCACACCCAGTTCAAAGGATTGGACAAGAGTGTCAGGGCCAGAGGGAGGGGACCAGCAGGAGGCACTGGATGGAGGCCCCTTCTCCCTTTGGCTCCAACTCCGTTAGCCTGTCTGGCCTTTGTGCTCCCCAAAGGGAGGCCAGTTTCCCATTGGCCTCAGGACGGTACCTGAATTAAGGAGTGGGCGATGGGCAAGAGAGCTGATCTTTCCGTGCCCGCTGCCCTGTCCTAACCTAGGAGTCAGGGCCACGTGCTCTGAGGGCCTGTCCCTGGAGCTGAACCTGCCCTCACCCCCACAGGCACAGGTACGTCCTCGCTGCGGACGCCTTGTGGCCTTCAGCTCTGGTGGGGAGAACCCCCACGGTGTGTGGGCCGTGACTCGGGGCCGGCGCTGCGCCCTGGCCCTGTGGCACACGTGGGCACCTGAGCACAGGGAGCAGGTGTGTGAAGCGTGGGCTGGTTGCTGGGTGAGGGGCAGGGGCTGATGGGACCGGGGAGGGTGGACGCAGGGATTGGGCCGACTCTCCTCCCACCTCTCAGGAGTGGACAGAAGCCAAGGAGCTGCTTCAGGAGCCGGAGCAGGAGGAGGAGGAGGGTGACGAGGAGGAGGAAGAAACGCCCAGCAGAGACCCTTCTCCAGAACCCCCCGGCCGCAGGCCTCCGCGGGTCCAGGACAAGACTGGGAAGCCGCCTCGGGTCCGAGAGGAGCTCTGAGGGGCTGAGCTAGCTCCTCAGGGACGCGGCCACTTGACTCGTGAAGGGCTGCCTCGGTGCCAGGACCCACACGAAGGCCCCTGTGACAGGAGCAGCACAGCGAGCTCTCTGTCCCTGCACCCCCACCGTCTTGGGGATCACAAGGGCCATCCAGCCCTGGGCTCAGAGGACACTGCACACACCAGCCTAGAACTCGTCCGGTCTGAGGAGTCAGGCCTGGCCCCAGCTGATGGACCTGCAGCCCTAGGACAGACGGAGGGCATGATGCCTCCCTGGGAAGAAGTGGCCGGGGCAGGGCCTGACTGCTTCAGATGAGGAGGATGAGAGGGGAGAGTAAGCCCCGCCCTCCCCCAGCCTGTCAATAAAGAACGTGAAGACCCTCAGCCAGGGCCCATGTTCCTGTCAGTTTCTGTGGTGGCTGGAGGTGGGAGCGGCCAGGGCTGGCCTGGGAGGAGACAGGTGTCTGCTGGAGGCGGGGCCACTCAGGCGTGTGATTTGTCAGGGAAATCTCAGCCACCTGCTGCCCTCACGCAAATACACCCAAACCCCAGACAGCTGCTCCGTGGGCCTCCAACTCTTAAGACCTGTCTTCCCTCCGAGCTGGGCCGAGACTTAGGGCAGCTTGATCCCTGAGACTCCTGCATTCCCAGCCCAGCAGGACCTCGTGAGTCATGGGGGCAAGGAGTGGGCCGGACGGGAGCAGGGGGTGGGGCTGCCCTCCACTTGCAATCCTTGATGCACCCAGAGCAGGGCCAGGCCTGTCCACCCCTCTTTCTGAATCCCCTGGACCCTCCCCCTGCCCCCACCCCCCAGAATCACATCCTGGGGCAGCTGGTTGGGGTTTGTCTGGAAGAAGGATTATCCAGATCAGTCCCTTCTAAGCTCAGCTCTGGCCTGCACCCTCCCCACGTCACCAGAACCCTCTTCCCCCACTACCTGAGCTAAGAAACACAGTTTTGGGTATTGACCATGGGCCATCTCTGACCCTTGTATTCTGGCTCTGGGGCTGGGTGCCAGGTAGGTCCTGACAGCCAAGATCATCACCACTGGTGGGGCCAGGCCTGGGGTGGGGTGGGGGCTGCTGGAGCTGTGGTGGCTGCTGTTCCTTTGCACCCTCCCAAACGTCAACCTTTAATCCTCACAGCTTTGCTCTAATCCCATGGGACCTAATGCTCTTCTCTCTGCCTGCAGAGAGACCCATCAGGGAAGCATCTCCTCCCCACTCCTCCCCCCAGAGCTGGTTGTGGGGGGCTGCTGCTCTATAGCCCACACTCCTGCTCCCCCCTTCCCCCAGGCTGGGCCCAGGTCTCTGGAAGCCACACACCTCCTCCTGTCCTCCCACCCTGCCAGCTGACTTAATTTGCCTGACGTCTTGTTGGCCCTTCCCTGTCCGTGCCCACACCCCCCTCCCCAGAGTGGGGCCAGGCCAGGCCAGCTCTTCTGGCAGCAGAGCCGGGGCAGGTGACGGCTGGCGTTGCAGTTGAGGGAGTGAGGAGGCGCCTGGGAACCGGAGCTGGAAACCTGGGAGCGGTCCAGTCAGAGCCCAAGTAAGGGGGAGCTGGCGGGCTCTGCCTCTGGGCCTGGGGCTGCGGGGAAGGCAGGCAGGGCTGGGCTGGCTGCACAGGACTCCAAACACGAGGGGCTCCTGGGGGAGGTGGTGTAGGCCACCTGTCAGTTCCCTATTTCTTGGAGTGGGCTCCAGCCCTCCTGAGAGTCTGGTGTGGGGAGCGAGGTAGAGGGATCCCCTATACTTACCGCATGTTCCCGGCAGGAGCCGGAGCTACCTCTCGACCTGTCAGCCATGGGGGAGATGGAGCAGCTGCGGCAGGAAGCGGAACAGCTCAAGAAGCAGATTGCAGTAACTCCAGCACCTTCCCACTGGGGACCCCAGAAAACGTGGAAATGGGGACATGAGGGAGTGTGGCCTGGGGGGAAGGAGGCTGGACTCATTCCTGAGTGACACCTTAGCGACCCCTGACCTGGAAGTCACCAGAGACTTTCTGGGTTTCATATTTGAGATGTCCCCCAACTGTAGATCCCCAAGCCTACCTGCCTCAGAGGCCCATGCACCCCCCCTCCAGCCCCCCCCTGCCTAATGTCTGCTTTCCCCCCAGGATGCCAGGAAGGCCTGTGCTGACACCACTCTGGCAGAGGTGAGACTCCTGTCCCTGTGAGCAGGGCCTGCGGGGAGGAGAGGGGATGGGAGCTCCCTGACCAGCCCAAGCTTTAGTACAACAAGTCCCTGGCGTGAGGAATAACACTAATTAGTTCAGTCAACAAACATTTAGTGAGGTCTGCTTTGGGCCGGGGCCGTATTGGAGGCTAAGGACAAGATGCTGCCCTCCTGTCATCCAGAAAACAAAGGTGCTCACACTGCAGGGTGGTGAGGTGAAGGGAGGGACAGCACTTCGAAAGTCACACACCCTTACAGACTGCAGTTACTAGTGGTCTGATACTGTACTTCGTCAATTCTAAGACGCACAGTTTTCTATATTTTGACATTTTTGAAATCAAGATGCATCCAACACTAGATGACGCCTTACAATTAAAATTGGCAGCGTTTTACTAGTGGTCTGATACTGTACTTCGTCAATTCTAAGTCACACAGTTTTCTATATTTTGACGTTTTTGAAATCAAGATGCATCCCAACACTAGATGATGCCTTACAATTAAAATTGGCAGCGTTTTTCTTTCTTAATGATACATGAAAGGAAGGTGCTTCCTAGAGTTATTTGCATCTTACAGAGGATTAAATATCTTTGTGGAGGAAGGGAGAGAGATAGAGAGTTAGAAACATCGATGAGAGAGAAACATCGATCAGCTGCCTTCTGCACATTTCCCACTGGGGATGTGCCCGCAACCCAGGTACATGCCCTTGACCGGAATCGAACCTGGGACCTTTCAGTCCGCAGGCCGACGCTCTATCCACTGAGCCAAACCGGTTTTGGCCGTTTTTTCTTTCTTAATGATACATGAAAGGAAGGCGCTTCCTAGAGTTATTTGCATCTTAGAGAGGATTAAATATCTTTGTAAGTATTTACTGAACACTTACCCTGAGCCAGACACTGGGCTAAGCTGCTTCAATGCCTAATTTCATTTTCCTGACAACCCCACAAGGCAGGTGCTATAAACAGTTTATAGATGAGGAAACAGGCTCGGAGAGGTCAAGTAACTTGATCAAGATAATAAAGCAGGTAAATGGTGAGTCAAGTCTATTGGCCCTAGAGCCTCAGACTAAGTCTAGAAGCTGGATAGACTTAAGGGGCATAGGATGACACATTTCAGGAGCTGCAGTTCAAGGTCATGGTGATACCTGGATACCCAGGTAAAGAGTTGGCTATGCTACCGTGGTGTGTGCAGGCAGGCTCCTAGCGGTTTGGAAATGTGTACGTATCTTCCTAAGTACGTGTTCAGTGACTTCACATTTTGAAATTGGTCAAGGTGGGAGAATTACAGGATAGAAATCACCCTCCCTCCTCCCCTGGCCCTCCCCACCCCACACTGGAGAGGGATTTGTTAAACACTTAACGACATGCCACTAATTGTCTCTCATCAACCTAAGCCACTCCAGAGCGGGACTGATTTCTCTAAGGCCGGGGGCCTGACCCAGAGCCTGGCACAGAGCAGAAACCTGTACAGATCGGTGGCTGTGACACTGACATCTGGTCACATACCCTGCTCACCCTGGTTTCTTACGCCCCCTTTTCTGCAGCTTGCGTCTGGCCTAGAAGTCGTGGGACGAGTCCAGATGCGGACGAGACGGACGCTCAGGGGACACCTGGCCAAGATTTATGCCATGCACTGGGCCACGGACTCCAAGTGAGACTTGAGAGGTGCCGGAGGGGAGGGGAGGGGAGGCAGGAAGGACAGACGTGGGTGACACGGAGTGCCCTCTCCCAGGTTGCTAGTAAGTGCCTCGCAAGATGGGAAGCTGATCGTGTGGGACACCTACACCACCAATAAGGTACCAGCCCTGCCTCCTGCCCTCCATCACTCCGTCCTTTCTTGGGGACACTATACCTACCCTCCTCTGCTCTCTCCACCTGGGAGCTCAGCCCAGGTCCTGCCCCTGCTCCCCTTGCCCTCCTGCAGGTACACGCCATCCCTCTGCGCTCCTCCTGGGTCATGACCTGTGCCTACGCCCCATCAGGGAACTTTGTGGCATGTGGGGGGCTGGACAACATGTGTTCCATCTACAGCCTCAAGTCCCGTGAGGGCAATGTCAAGGTCAGCCGGGAGCTCTCTGGTCACACAGGTGAGAGGCCCTCTCTTCCGTCCCACCCTGAGGGATCCAGGGAAGTCCCCGCTGGCTGGCGGGTCGTGGTTCTGCAGCCAGGGCACTGTCCTCACCTCCCCCAGGTTATCTCTCCTGCTGCCGCTTTCTGGACGACAACAACATTGTGACCAGCTCAGGGGACACCACGTGGTGAGGCCTGACACTGGGTGCTGGGCTGGGAGTCAGCTCCGGCCTGGCCTTTCTCGCTGACAGCCTCCCCTCCTCCCTGCAGTACTCTGTGGGATATTGAGACCGGGCAGCAGAAGACTGTGTTTGTGGGACACACAGGGGACTGCATGAGCCTGGCTGTGTCTCCCGACTTCAAACTCTTCATTTCGGGGGCCTGCGATGCCAGCGCCAAGCTCTGGGACGTGCGGGAGGGGACTTGCCGGCAGACGTTCACGGGCCATGAGTCGGACATCAACGCGATCTGTGTGAGCCCCCTCTGTGCTCCACCTCCTGGGACCACCTCACCACCCCAACGCGCATCCTTCACCCGCTGCCAGAGCTCCCCACCCCCGTCTTTTCAACTTTCCACTTTAACATAACCTCCCCTCACAGAGAAGTTGTAACAAAAAGAGCTCCCACCCAGCCTCCACCCACATTCACTGTTGACAGTTTATCACATTCGTTTTGTCCTCTGTAGAGGACGGGATGGAGGAATGGATGGGTAAATGATTGACAGCTAGCTAGACACACACATCCATCCCAATGGAGATATACATTTTGTGGGGGTTTTTTGTTGTTGTTAAGGATATTTTTCTATTGATCTTTTTAGAGAGAGTGGGAGAGGGAAAGACAGAGAGAAATATCTATGTAAGAGAAACACATCGATTGGTTGCCTCCTGCATGAGCCCTGACCAGGGCCCGGTCCAGGGAGGAACCTACAACTAAGGTACGTGCCCTTGACTGAAATCGAACCTGGGACCCTTGGTCTGCAGGCCGACGCTCTATCCACTGAGCCAAACCGGCTAGGGCTTTTCCTGGATTTTTTTAGAGTAAGTTGCAGACATCATACCTCTTTATCCCTTAAATACTTCAGTGTGTATTTCCTAAACACAAGGCCATTCTCTTACACAGCCACAGTATAGTTCTTAAAATCAGGACATTTAACATTAATGTAGACACAATAATATGGTCTACAGCCTATATTCACATCTCACCGAGTATCTCAACAATATCCCTAACAGCAGTGGGGGGTTTTTTCCTGCCAGGAACACGTGTTGCATTTTCTTGCCACATCTTAGTTTCCTTTAAACTGGAACTGTTTTTCTACCTTTGTCTTGTGTGACATTGACATTTTAAAAGAGTACAGTACAAACCAGTTTTCTGTAGACTTCCCCTCTGTGTGGGCTGACCTGACATTTCCTCCTGATGAGATTCGGGTTATGCATTTGTACTTGGCCCTGCGCCTACACTCTGACCCACTGAGTGTGGCGGGAAGGGTCAGAGACAACCTCCCCCTTCCAGCCCTGGGAGCCTGGGCAGGCTGCAGGCGCTCGCTCAGCCTCATTATTCCCCGTCTGTCATGAGGAGCCAGGGAAGGGTGTGGGGGAGCCACCAGCGCATGAAGAGCGATGCCGTGGCCTTTCTCACCGAAGGCCAGGGGAGGGGCAGCCAGGGAGGCTGAGGCAAGCAGCTTGCCCGGGAGCCACCAGGGCGGGAGCCAGGGAGAAGGCAGGAGAGGCAGCGGTGCCCAGGTCTGAGTCCTGACCCCCTTGCCCCCTGTGTGCCCTCAGTTCTTCCCCAGTGGAGAGGCCATCTGCACAGGCTCAGACGACGCCTCCTGCCGCCTGTTTGACCTGCGGGCAGACCAGGAGCTGACTGTCTACTCCCACGAGAGCATCATCTGCGGCATCACCTCCGTGGCCTTCTCCCTCAGCGGCCGCCTGCTCTTCGCAGGCTACGACGACTTCAACTGCAACGTCTGGGACTCCATGAAGGGCGAGCGTGTGGGTAAGGGTCCCCTACTGCCACCTCAGCCCGAAGTGCCCTCCCGCAGCTCCCCTTGTGGGAACCTGCTGCTGCTCCCTGATCATTAGATAACTCTGAGCTCTGCCCCTGCAATCGTGTCCCCTTGGTTCCCAATGTAGGGTCATCTTCTCTGGAAGAAAAGTTGCTCCGAGGGCCTTCCCTACCACCCAGGGCCCGAGCTGCTCCCTCCAACGCAGCTCCTTCAGGCTGTGCCCAGACCCGAGGACATGAGTGTCCAGTCAGGTCTGGGATTCAGGGGCGGCTTCATTGCAGGGAAAGGCGGCCTCGGGGAACCATGCGATGAGCAGATCGAGCTCCAGAGTGATCTGAGGGCCCTGACCCCCAGCGAGGGGCTCATGGGACCAGCCTGGTCTGCAGTTGAGTCAGTGTGGCTTCTTCTCTTGGGAGAGGTCAGGTGCTCAATGAAAATAACACTGGCCAGAAAGTCAGGGTCTGAACCCTAATTCTGTGGCTTATTTTCCGAGTGCCCTTGGGCAAGTCCCTTCTCTCTGGGCCTCAGTCTCTTGGTTTGGAAACAAAGAAACAGCACAAAAGGGTTCCTTCCCATGTTTTCCAGTGCCCATCAGATGCCCCTTTCTTTTCTCATAGCACATGGACACTGCCTGCCGACCCTTTGCCATCCCTCTTCGCCCCTCCCCTGCCCTAAGTTCTTGGCAGAGATTGGCCTCAAGAGAAGCCACACTGCTTAGGGCTAATCCTCTTTGGGTCTTCCCGTCTCCACCAGGGGGCTGGAGTCGGAGCCCAGCCTACCTAACCTGGGATCCTGTGCCTGCACACACACTCCCTGCCACATCAGCACCTGCAGACCCGCTGACTCCTCTCCCTTTTCCTCAGGCGTCCTCTCTGGCCACGACAACAGGGTCAGCTGCCTGGGGGTCACAGCTGATGGGATGGCGGTGGCCACTGGCTCCTGGGACAGCTTCCTCAAAATCTGGAACTGAGAAGGCTGGAGGAGGGGAGGTAAAAGGCCATGAAGACACTCAGCTGCCCCTTCCCCTGCCCAATTTCTTGAAGGTTCCTTAAAGGCTTTCTCTTCTATACCCCAGCTGCCACTCCCACAAGCTTTCTCCTTTGAGGCCCATGGGGAACACAGGGTGTGCCTCTGGGAGACAGCATCAGGGCTGGGCAGAGAACCGCCCCTTCTCCTCCCATGGCCTCTCCTCTCTGTGGTCCTGATAGTTTCTCCCTTAATAAGTAAGGACAACGGACCCCTCCCCAGCCCTTGGCAGCCCAGCAGGTTTCAGTATAGGCTCCAGGCCCTAGGATTCCTCCTCCAGAGCTACTACCTTTGTCCAGGGTAAAGACCTGGGTGGTCAGGGTGCTCGGCCCCGTGACTATGGCTCTGGCACCACCAGGGTCCTGGCTCCCTTCTCCTTCATGTTTTCCCCTTTTTCTACCTTCTTCTTTTTTTTTTCTCCCCTCTCCAAAGTACCTGCAATAAAGTATAGCAGCTGGTATATCTGTGATGTTTGGTTTTCACCCTACTTCTGTTCCAAAAAGATTCAGTTCCCACTTAAGTAATGAAGTGTTACAGGTACAAGTGATAAAGACTGGGTACCAGACAGCTTGTGGGCAGAAAGTAGGGTAGAGGCAGAAGCCCAAGGTTCGTGGGGAAGGCCGGAGATGGATTAGGAGAGAAGGTATTCACCAGGTGGCTTGGGAGTGCGTGCACAGCAGTTCACCATAGCCTGCCTGTGGTGCGTACATGAGTGTTTGTATAGGAGGATTGTGTTGAGAAGGAATCCTATATAATAAAATCCTAATATGCAAATCGCCCAAACAGCGGAATGACAGGTCGCTATGATGCACACTGACCACCAGGGGCCTTGGGGGCAGCTCCTGCGTTGAGCGTCTGCCCTCCCCGCCCCACAGAGGGAGGTGATCGGGGGCCAGTGGACAGCGCCAGGCCACCAGCCAAGGTGGGTGCCAGTTCGCCCTGCCCGCCATTCACCCCACAGATCGGCCCTGATCACCAGCCAGGCCTAGGGATCCTACCCTATATATTGGGAACAGTCTCTTAGATTTAAAAATTAAAACCTGGCAAGGCTACTCTAACACTGAAAAAACAGGATGATGCAGCAATGACATGCATGGACTCTGGCTTGCACATTGTGTGGTCAGTCCTGATTCTGACACTTATAACTGTGTGACAAAGGCAATTACTTAACTTCTCTGTTTCGGTTTTTCCACCCATAAGATGGGGAAAATGGTACTACTGCCTCAGAAGGATCATGTTATGTACTACTTTTTATAATCAAGGCAAAGAAATGTAGCTGCCCATACAAAGGCAAGATGCCTTTCACTTGTATAAAAAGTATGGTCACTGGTGCATGCAGCGTCCCCGATTGCGAGAGGGATGTCCGACTACCAGTTTACATCCCCCCCTGAGGGTGCAGGCAGTTGGACATCCCCCGAGGGCACAGGCCAGGCTGAGGGACACACAAATTTCCTGCACCAGGCCTCTAGTCAGGTTATAAAAGGCCTTGAATGTAAGGCTAGTCTAGACTTTATCCTAAGGCCAATGGAAAACCATTGAAGAGCTTTGCGCAGAGTAATAATGTGATCAGCTATGCTTCTCAGAAAGATGAACCAAGCAGCAGTGCAGGTTGATGAAATGGAAGGAGAGACAGGAGGGAATAAAGGGAACAGTAGGAGCCAGGTGGCAAGAAATTGTAAGAGCAATAGGACAGAGGGCACAAGAAAAGGGATGGGAAAATGATTCAAGATACAGAATCACCAGGATTTAGTGACCAAGTGCTTGGATATGATATTAAGAAGGAAGGATTCAAAATGATGGCCAAGCCCTGGCTGGTGTGGCTCAGTTGGTTGGAGCACAGTCCCGTACACCAAAAGGTGGCGGGTATGAGGAGGCTGGAGGAGGGGAGGTAAAAGGCCATGAAGACACTCAGCTGTCCTTTCCCCTGCCCAATTCCCCTGCACACACCCAGGTTGCTGGTTTGATCCCTGGTCCTGATGGGGAACATGCTGTCAGGCATGTGCAAGAGGCAACTGATTGATGTTTTTTGCTCTTTCTCTCCCCATTCCTCTCTAAAATCAATTAAAAAAAAATTTTTTTAATGTTTTAAAAAGCCGGGCCATGCGGCTCAGTAGTTGAACATAGAGCTATGAACCAGGTCATGGTCCAATTCCCTGTCAGGGCATATGCCTGGATTGCATTCGATCCCCAGTAGGGGGCATGCAGGAGGCAGCCAATCAATGAATCTCTCATCACTGATGTTTTTATCTCTCTCTCTCTCTCTTCCTACCTCTCTGAAATCAATAAAAATGTTTGTGTTTTTTAAAAAATATATTTTCATTGATTTCAGAGAGGAAGGGAGAGGGAGAGAGAGATAGAAACATCAATGATGAAAGAGAATCATTGATTGGCTGCCCCCAGCATGCCTCACACTGGGGACCGAGCCTACAACCTGGGCATGTGCCCCTGGCCGGAATCGAACCCGGGACCCTTCAGTCTGCAGGCCGACGCTCTACCCACTGAGCCAAACCAGCCAGGGCAATAAAAATATGTTAATTAAAAAAAAAAAAGAAGAGGGGAAGACAAATAGCTTTTTGGGGAAAGATCACAAATTCAATTTTAGACAAACTGACTTTGGAGTGCCTGTGGGGCAGATGGATATGGTCAGGGTTAGACAGAGAGACTTGGAAGTAACCGGAATACAGGTAAGTAGTAGCTAATCCCTAGAAATGAAGAGCGAGAGGAAAGAGCCAAGGACAGAGTTCTGGTGAACACCAGAATTTAAGGGAGGTGCGTTGAGGAGATTTGGAGGTACCAGTGCAGGGGCACTGAGGCCAGGGAACACAGCTCCCCAGGCTGCCTTTCTACATGAAGACGACCCAGTGAAGGTTTAAGTATAACAGTTAACAACATCACTTAAAATCACTCCTTTAATATACAAGAAACACATAATACACAAAGAAAGCCCAAGAACGCTATCAGTTCCTGAGCTGGTAGTTTAGGGGGAGTCGAAGAAAATGAGTCTTTCCAGTCTCCCAGAGAAAGAAGGGGCGGGAGGACTCGGAATATCACTAGACCCTGGTGAACCCAGGGGGGCCACCCAGGGCCTAGTTCTCCACCAAGGCAAACTGCTGGTTTTCCTTGTCGTGGTCCTGACCTTGCTCCCACGCTTGGCCTCCGGTTCTCAGAAGTCGTCCAGTTCCCAGAATGGCCCCTTCCTTTAGTTCCCTAACATTTTCACTCAGGGGAGAAGGCCGCTTACCCTACAAAAGGCAGGATGCAAGTTGGGGGAGGGAGGCAGGTTGTTCAGGAGAGGGAAGACGGGGAAAGGGCCTCCCACCTCCATGCTGGACTTCCTAGGAACAGCCTCCCCCTCCCCCTTTACCTGTCGTAGTGTCCGAGTCCCAGGGGAGTTGTCATCCTGCAGGATGGTGAGGGGAGATCTCCCTAGTGCCTTGCCCCTTGGTTTCCGTCTATTTCGCTTAGAACCTAGGTGGGTAAAGAGTTAAAGAAAGGAGCCAAAATTAGGGGCTTACCGTTTATTCCTCCTAAACTATCTGTAGACATTATCCCAAGACATCATTCCAATTTCTCTCCCTTATAGCTTGCCCTTAGATTCTGTACCTGAAGGTCTAGGCGTCTCAGGGTCTCTCATGGGCTTGTCTGAGCCCTGGCTGGTCCTAAGGGTTTCTGAGGGCTGTCCTGTTTCTTCCTCGGAAAACACCTGCTTGGAGGGGAGCTCAGTCTGGCTCCCATGAGGCATCTGGTCCTCCAGGGAACACTGGGTGCCCAGAGGCAAGTCCAAGTCGGAAGATGAAGGTACCTCTAGGGGCAGAACAGGCTCTGGGGGCAGATTTGATTTGGGGGCTTCCGTCTCAAATTCTTCACTTAGCTCTTTCACCAGCGGGGTTGTGAGCTCTAGAGGAGAGACGTGAAGTGAGATAGTGACTCCCTGATACAAATTGTTCAGCAAAGAGGAAAAAAATACAGAAGCCTTAGGATTCATGCCCTGGTGGGTGAGGAATTGAAAAGAGGGAAATCAAGGTGAGAGGGAGCAAAGTGTTGAGGAAAGAGTGAGATGGGTTCACAGCAGGAGGATAGAGGCTCCTTTAAGAAGGAGCCCTGAGAGGATGGCTTCACTGACCCCCACCCCCCACCCAAGGATGCTAGCTGACAACCTCATCAGAATTCCCTGGGCCCAACACTTACCTCCGCTGCTGGTCTTCATAGGTGTCCGTGCAATGCCAAGGGTGGGAGAGCGGGGATCCGAGTCCTGGGCCTGATTAGCATCCTCCAGCTGCTCCCCCGCTGCTAGGTTTGGCTGTGGAGAGCTCTCCACCTGTCAAGACCAAAGGCCATTAAAGTATGGGCCCTGACTCTTCTTCCCTCCCAGCTCTCCAGCCACAGGCCAATGTTTCAGGCAGGAATTGCCAAGGCCTTCCGACATTCCGGGGAATGTAGAGGTGGGGAGTGGGGGCTCTCTTAAAATCAGATTAGGCAGAGGCCCAAGAATTCGTACAGTTTCTCTTCCTGCCCCTCCCGCGGCCCAGAGTACCTGGATGGGAGTGCGCAGGATGCCCGCACTAGGTGAACGCGGGTCCGCCACTCGAGCCAGAAGCTTGTTGTGCGGCGGAGGCCGCGCCGGAGTGACTGGAACGCTCTTGGCTGAGCCCATCTCAATCCGGAGGAGGAGGGTGGGGCAGGGCCCGGCCCGGGGCGAGGAGGGTATGCCTGTGAGAAGTGACTCCGGTCTCAGCCCTCACCGCGACCATGTTCGACCTCGGACTCCACACCACCCGACCTTCCCAGATCCCAGCTAAGGAACCTCCTGGCCGCTGGGCCAGAGGCCTCTGTGGGGACGGTGCAGCTGACAAGGCGTCTCATTCCGGGCCTGCGGGGCCCTCTAACTCACTCATTTATTTAAATCACTTACCGGGCCCCAACTCCACTTCGGTGCACGGCAGCTGCAGCCTCAACTCCCAAAGCTGAGTTTCAAACCTCCCGCCACGCCCCCTGCCGTGACCCTATTGGCTGAGCGGACACAGGCTCCGATAGGCCCGCTATGGGAGATCCGCCTACAGGGAGGGAAGCCATTGGGCTGAGAGGACGTCTATCATGGGAACCACGGGTTCGATGGGCAGCGGCTTGGTTCACCCAGGTGTGACGCCTCCTGGATAAAAGGGGAATTTTGTGCCTATTAGGCTGCAAGTTGTCCATCGTGAAACTTTAAGGAGTGCCAGTCTTCGCTTTTGAGACCTTCAGCTTCAAAAACCAAATTATTTTATTTAAAAAAATAGAAAAAAAGAATTATTATGCTATTATGTACAGATTCAGGCGGAGACAGAGATAGGAAGGTTTTTTTGAGGCGAGAGAAATAGTGATCCGTAGAGGTTGACGGCGTCATCAATCACTGGCCTCTAGCCCTCTCACACTCCGCCTCATTAGGTGGGCCCTTTCCCAAATACCAAGTCTCCAGGAGAGTCTCAGGTT